GTCCACATCATTAATGAAGATGTTGAACAGTATGGGTCCAAGGACAGAGCCTTGGGGGACCCCACTGGTCACAGGACACCATGATGAGTGACTTCCATGAATTACTACCCTCTGGGTCCAACCACGGAGCCCATTTTCCAGGAAGTGGATCGTGGTGGACCCAAGGCGACAATTGGCCAGTTTCACCAAGAAACCTATTAAACCTATTAAACCTATTAAATTAAATTAAACCTAATAATTTATAGATTAAATTAGCCAACTTTGTGTCAGTCTTTCATCAGTCCCATGGGACGCCCATGCCCGCTACGGGACAGGGAAGTCTGGGTCAGGGTGATCCCCTGCCATCCATTAATGCTGACCTCATGAAGGAACATCTTGAGAAGCTGGATACCTTCAAGTCAGCCGGCCCTGACAATCTACACCCTAGGGTACTCAAGGAGCTGGCGACCATCATAGCCCAGCCTCTAGCACAGATCTTTGAAAACTCTTGGTGCTCTGGTGTAGTGCCCGAAGACTGGAAGAAAGCCAATGTGGTGCCTATCTTCAAGAAAGGGAGGAAAGTGGATCCGGCTAACTATAGGCCCATCAGCCTGACTTCTATCCCGGGGAAGATCTTAGAAAAGTTTATTAAAGAGGCCATCCTTAATGGACTGGGCGACGCCAACGTCTTAAGGGATAGCCAGCACGGGTTTGTCGAAGGCAGGTCTTGCTTGACCAATCTCATTTCCTTCTACGACCAGGTGACCTATCACCTGGACAAGGGACAATGACTACAAGGTCATTGCTTCATTAAGCAAATCTATGTTGCAATATATAATTCCAATGTAAAAACTTGCATAGCGAGAATCTCAAAATGAGCAAAAAATTGTTTAGTAACTGTCTGCACATAGCCCAGCCCAAAGGGGTCCTTGGCCTTTACTAAAGTTCCTAAGTATTCCCACAATGGGACTCTTAAATAAGAAATGCTGAAGTTTACTTAAAGCTTGTTTCTCTTTTCGTGACAAAAGGCAACTTAAATCCTTGTAAACTCAAAGCAAAAATGGGTAATTTCACACAACTGTGCATAGTGACAAAACACTTAAAGAAGTAAATCCCAAAAGCATTTCCATTCTCTTCTAGTATTTTTAATATATTTTTTCAATTGTATATTGCTGTGACATGTAAACAGTACCTTGAAGCTGTATTCTACAATAGAACTTAACAAATATTGTATGGAGTAAAAACCAAATATTACTTCATTTCCAAATTGTACCAGGCCAGGTCCACTCCTTCAGCTAGTTCCTTTCTTTCCCAGTGGCAGAAAGCAGCAGGAAAAAAGACATCAGCCAGAGGATCATTACAGCATAGGAAAATGTCTGAGGGCTTTAGGCCAGTCTCAATGACTCACAGGATTCATTTCTTCATTCCATCCAGGAAGAGCACACACCAACTGCTGAAACTTCCTTAGCCTGACGAAGGGTTTTTGAGCCCGAAAGCTTGCTTAATAACTTTTCTCCAACTATTTGGGTTGGTCTAATAAAAGATATCAAATTCACCCAAGGAACCTTGTCTGCCCAGGATTCATTTCTACCACTTTGTATGAATAAACAGGCAGGGGAAGGGAGTGGGAAGAAGAGAGGGTTACAGTGATCCTGAGATAAGCAGATTTCCAGCCTGGGGAACAGCCTCTTCAAGCTGTGCACAGCAAGCTTCAGCACTGGAGGAAGGGTAAAAACTAGTTAGACAAGGACTGGGAAGAAGCCAGGTATTCTGATTTGCAAAAACATTCATTTATTTACCCCATGTCTATTATGTTCCCACACACCCTTGAAAATTGAAGGAATGTGAAGGGGGACAGGGGAGAGCCAGTGCCCAATGGCTACAGTAGTATCATAGTTGATAGGGTTGGATGGGATCTGAGCAGATCATCAAGTCCGATCCCCAGCCATGGGCAGGAAAGAATGCTGGGGTCAAATGACCCTGGCTAGGTGATTATCTAGCCTCCTTTTGAAGACCCCCAAGGTAGAAGTGAGCACCACTTCCCTTGGAAGTTGGTTCCAGCTCCTAGCCGCCCTGATTGTGTAGTACCTCCTGATGTCTAGCTTGAACCTACTCTCAATAAACTTGTGGACATTATTCCTAGTTACTCCGGGTAGTGCTTGGGGGAACAGGGCCTCTCCCATTCCCCACTGGGACCTGAAGACATCATCTAGTCTAACCCTCTGCTTTGGCAGGAAAGAGTACTGGGGTCAAACGACCCCGGCCAGATGTTCATCCAGCCTTTTTTTAAAGACCCCCAGGGTAGGAGCCAGCACCACTTCTTTTGGAAGTTGGTTCCAGGTCCTAGCCTCCCTGACAGTGATATAGCGCCTCCAAATGTCTAGCCTGAAACTACCCTCCACTATCTTGTGTCCATTGTTTCTTGTAACTCCCGGGAGTGCTCGGGGGAACAGGGACTCTCCCAATGCCTGCTGGTCCCCCCTGACTAGTTTGTAGACTGTCACTAGATGCCCTCTCAGCCTTCTCTTGTGGAGGCTGAACAGGTTCAAGTCCCATAGCCTCTCCTCGTACAGCCTGCCCTGTTGCCCCCTGATCATGCGAGTGGCCCTCCTCTGGACCCTCTCAATGCTGTCCACATCCATCCTGAAGTGTGGAGCCCAGAACTGGACGCAGTACTCCAACTGCAGCCTGACCAATTTCGCATAGGGGGAGGGAGAGGATCACCTCCTTGGACCTGCTTGTGATGCATCTGTGGATGCATGACAAGGTGTGGTTAGCCTTACTGGCCGCATCCTCACATTGGTGGCCTATGCTCATCTTGGAATCAATAATGACTGCAAGATCCCTTTCTGCCTCTGTGCTGACAAGAAGGGAGTTCCCCAGCCTGTAGGTGTGCTGCTGGTTCTTTCTACCTAGGTGCAGTACCTTGCACTTGTCAGTACTGAATCCCATCCTATTCTCATCCGCCCACCCCTGTAACCTGTCCAGATCTAGTTGTAGCCTGTCCCTCCCTTCTAGCATGCCCATCTGTCCCCTCATCTTAGTGTGGTCCGCGAATTTGAACAAGGTGCTTTTCAACCCCTTGTCCAAGTCGCTGATAAATATGTTGAACAGTACAGGCCCGAGGACCAAGCCCTGGGGGACTCCACTGCCCACATCCGTCCAGGTCAAAAATGACCCATCCACCACCACTCTCAGGGTGTGGCCCTCTAGCCAATTTGCCACCCATCTGACTTAGATAGGATAAGGGATGTTAATGTTAAAAAACAAAACAAACCAAAAAAAACAAGGATAAGATTGCTTAGCAAGACCCCAACCTCCCACACAGAATCTGTCTTGAAACAGATTTGTTTAGCCAATCACTAGAGGCCTGTTTGTGCAGTCTAGAAGAAGGCTCACATAGGTGGCAAGCAGTCTCTGAGTCCTAGCTATGACTAAAGCTTCTGTCACACAGCAGTTCATCTTCCTATAGTCCACTCCTTTTGTTCCTCTGTTCTATGCCAGAAACCACCTGCTATGGAGTGGGGTTAAGTGGGTCTTCAGACCCTTGTTAACTTCTTCTCTATGATTTTATGATAATTGAAGATGCTTTGTAAGCCACGTTTATTACAGGAAAATCTAATGTAATACATAGTTTCTGAATGCCATGGTTCCTTGCCTCTATTAGGGTATGTACATAAATTAAACAGAGGCAAGGAAAGCAGCAGGTCTGGGACAGCCCCCCCGCCCCCCCCAAGTGCCCTCAGGCTACTTTTGTGACAGGGCATCTCCTCCATTGCCCTGTATGGGAGGTGAGCCTAATGGCTTAGTGTGACCAAAAGCAAATAGTCCCTGGTATTCAAGATCTAAAAGATGCTGTAGCCTTTTCTGTTCATTTGCAGGCGTGCTTATGGTTTGCAATGGCATAGAGGTGAAGACACTTGGGCAGAAAAAAAGACGTCAGACTAGGGACCTTCTTAAATCATGATTTCACAGTTTTCAAATAAACCACAAAAAAGGCAGTTTCCATGACTGCTACAAAAAATGGCATTTCCCTTAATTTTGCCTGGTATTGCCCCCCCCCCCCCCAAAAAAAATAAAAGGTTGCCAGAAAACAAAGAAAGCACAGTAATCCATGTAGCCATAGAGCACATGGTTTGAGAGAAGGCTACTAAGAGGCTGAGCTAGTGACATTGACTCAGTGAAGGCGCCAGTTAGGAAGGCAAAGGGGTTTTGCTGCCATCTTTTAAGAAGCCAGATTCAATGCTGCAGTCTGAAAATGAGTAATTGGCCTGTTGGTCAATCAACGGTGAGAGGCAGGGCCACTGGGACCCATTGGCCAATCAACTGAAAGGCTCGCTACCGAAAGACAGTGAAATTGGCTCCACACACTATGAACAGCCAGCGAAAATCCCTTCATCTTGCCGCAATTTGGATAGGTCCCTACCTATGACACAAGACAGACATATAAAGATGGGTTTTGCTCATCTTCAGAAATTTTATTAGATTTTTTAAAAATTCAAGTATGAAAGCAGATTAAATGTTGAAATCCTCAATATTCAGAAAGAGCTCACCAGATGCCAATTGCATGGAATGATCTTGGAAATACATGATAAATTTTAGCTGTAAAGCATAGCACATGCTTCAGAAACCAAAGGATTTCCTTTTTTGTATACTGCATACATTGTTTATCTTTAGGATGAGAGTGTTTTCATAGCCATGATGGTCCAAGAAGTGTGTGAGAGGTGAGGAAGACTTGAGAAAGGCCCCAAAGCTCATCTTGTCTTGCTCACAATCATACAGTTCATCCAATAAAAGATATCACAAAACACCCTGTCTTCAAGACACGTTTGTGCTGCTGTTTCAATATCACATTTTTGTTAAAGATAATTATAATTCAGCAGAACCAAAGAACTTAAACAGTTGCACCTAAAACATTTTGTAATTCATTTTTTAAAAATTGACAGAAATCAATCAAATGTTTGATACCACATTAATATTGTCATAATGGATTCTTCTTCATCAAGTTGATCATCTCCTTATACATGAGCTCAGGAGCATCAAGACCCCAGAGAAAATCCAGATGGTTCCAGCTAGGAATAAACTTGTCATAAATTAGATTCTTGATTTCTGGGCGTAAACGGGCAACTTCTCTAGGAGTGGAAAGCCAGTCATTTCCACCACTCCATATTGCAGTTGGTACTTTCATATCTGCTACTTTGTAGATGAATGGAATTATCTTTCAAAAAGATTGCATAAAAAGAAAACAAATTTGAAAGAGAGAACAATATATATGTTGAAAGGCTAAAAGTATATTTTAAGTACAGAACATCCTTTCAGTTTCCTATATGTATTGTATTTCCTGGTTGTATATACTCATTCAAATGAAATGTGTGTGTGTCACAGTTCTTCCTTATATACAACATATTAATTGTTTTATAGAGAGGGTTTACAATGAATCCTATGACATGTGAATCAAACATTAATTATACATTTGGTTCAGTGAATTACTGTATTTTAATGAAAAATGAGCTATCTCACCTATTCACTCAACAGGTAAAAAGCAGACAAGAAATACTCAAGCACTATCCCTGCTATTTGTTTCAATTGTATCTAGAGTTTTCCCTTTAATCTCTGAACCACATCCATCTTCCCTGAGCACCTACCCTTTCTCTCTCTGTCTGGTTAGCTGCAAATAGTTTGAAAAGAAGGATGAGCTATTAAAGATAACTATATTTAAAATATGTGGAGGTCTGCTTTATCTCAGTATTGCAATATTTTTACATCAGCTTGGTCTATAGTGCTCAGTTTTTTAATTTCCAGGAAAGGTCTCCACTGTCATTCTTTCAGTTAAAATGGTCAAGGAAAGAAGGATTCAAAATGATTCCTTAAGCACCTCAATGGGACTTAAGCAGAGTTGACGTGTCTAAGCACCACAGAACAATTTTAACCAGCTCTGTAGCAGCTGCTACAAAACTGACTAGATACCTCCATTAGACTCCCCTGTAGACATTAGGGCTTCTGTACATGCTCAGAAAAGATTCAGGTGGAGTATTAGGGTGCCTTAAGGAACTTAACTTTCTCCTAAGCCCTGCTACAAGTCTCATTGCTGCTGAGAGGCACCTGAGCTCTGCTTAAGCCTTCAGACAGGTCCCCGGATGTTCCACCATTAAATTCAGTTCAAAGATTGGGGTGATGTTCATCTTTTACCCATTGACTTAGGGATTGGAGTACTCATGTAGGAAGTGGGAAACATGGATTCCAAGTTCTCCTTGTCTCAAAAGATTTTTAATCTACATCTTCCACTTCCAAGGAAAACACCCTACCCACCAGGCTAGGAGAGTATACTCCTCACTTCTGCTGAATGTTATCCAGAGAGAAGCCAAGAGTAGAAGATTGATGTGGCCAGAAAAAGAACAAGTAAGAGGGAGCCTAGTAGCTATAGACTCCAAGCTGAAGAGAAGTCCTTATTTCATTCCAGCCACCACAGTTGATTCTCTTTTATTAACCAATGAATGTCTAACATAAAAGTCAGAAATAGTGCTGGTGACAAGTAAAAGGGAGCCTGCCCCTTGATCTTGTGTTGCTGGGGGTTGGCAGATGTGGCTTTCAGTTGCTGCTGCCAGGACTACATTTGTTTTGTGACTATCTAATGTTAAATGCATTGAGAGCTGTGGGATCAATTCTCTCTTAAAAACTCATGTGAGTTTAAAGAGAGAAATGTTTTAGAGGTAGAATTAATTCACCACCATTAGAAGTAGCTCACCTGCTTATAGTGCACCAAGTTATACAGTATTCCCCCATCATAAGCTTTCAGTACCCCACTTCGAATACTCTGCAGAAAACATTAAAAAAATAAAATGCATGATGTTGTGTTGAACAAATCGAATCCTGGAGAGCAAAGCTAGCTCATTAATAAACTCTAGAACATTAACATATTTTCTCCCTGATTCAGAGGCAAATCATACTTCCTGCTTTAAATGAATGAGGGACAAAATAAAGAAAGACATCAGAGGAAAAGAATATTATCATATGCACTTTGAAATAAAATGGATGTGGTAGTAGATTTGTGGTCTCTAACTGGATAGGCTGGATCCAAGGCAGGGCGTATAAACAAAAGGATTATATCCTACTTATTCTACACCACATCATTACAGCAATATGATACAGAGACAAAAGTTCTGTTGTTTTCACACAATTGCACAAGGTCTTCTGTTGCAAAGAGCCATTATCCCTGCTATTTGAGAAATAGGAAAAGTAGAAATAGGAAACCAGTGTTGTATCACTGGGCTGGGGACAGTTGCAGAGCAATATGCAGCAAGGGAAACGCATGAGCAGTGATTAGAGCAGCATGGGATGAGGCAGTGGCTGCATCTCAGGTCTGAACTGCAGCACCTGAGGGCAGGCTCAGCGCTCAGCCGTGTGACCTGGAAGGGCGGAGCCCTAGTGTACTAAAACCATCATTTTTGAGCCAAAGAACTTAGTCTGGTCCTGACTTCTCTTGTAGACAGAACTCTTGCTAGCCTGGGTGGCAACAGAGAGAAGCCCAGACAGCACTGATACATGGGAAAGCTGCAAGAGGTAACAGCTACAGCATAGGACTGGTAGCAATCCTAGTAAGCCCTGAAGGGGAATTAACAGGGTGCCATAGTTACACAGAGTAACACCAGAGGATGGCATATGGCAAAAATGTGTGGATAGGAGGCCATGGGTTGCCAGAGTGGCACCTGTTTAGAGGCTGGGGATAGAAACCCTTACAAAGTCAGGGAATGGCAGAGCTAAGCACAACTAGATGGCCAAGGACTGACATATTGAGAGAGACATAGAGAGGGAAGCCTTGCTCTGAGTCATTGATGCCACGGTGGTGTTGGGCTACACTAAAAACTGCCTTGCCCTGAGTCAAGGACACCCTTGGAGCTGGGCTGAACTAAAGGTGGCCTCACTTGGGCCAGGCAGACCATTGCAATGGGGAGGGGCAGTGAGCAGCCTTGCCTGCACTGGTGGGCTGGGAGGGACTGTGAGCATCCTTGCTTGGGCTGGGGGGGTCAGGAGGGACGGACCAGATTTGCCTGTGCCAGGAGGGGTAGGAAGAACTGTGAGCAGTATTGCCTACGCTACGGGGCTGGAAGGGACCGTAAGTCAACTTGCCTGCTCTGGGGGGCTGGAGGAACTGAGGCAAGGCCAAGTGGCATAAAGACACAGAGAGGGCTGAGGCCTCTAGAGGAAGACTGAAACAGTGGACAGAATAACATCCATGAAGCATAGGTGTGGTTGTAGCGGAGGATGGAGGCCACAAATTTACCACTTAAGCTGGTTAGGGCCAGGAAGATCAGAGTCCCAATGCTGCAAGAATGTGGATAGCAGGGTCAGAAACTGAATTAGATGGGCCAAGGTGACCCTGAGAAAAGAAACAAGTATAGAGAGAGAGCACCCCAATCTCCCCAGTCTCTGAGGGCAGCCTCCATTCATTTTCTTTAAAATCAAGTTATGGTAGGCAAGGCAGGAGTTTGAGACCTTGTGAGGGGCTGCAGCGTGAGCAGCACAGGACTAGGGTGGCCACCCAAGGGGGGTGTCCTGTTATACTTTGCCACAAGCAAACTATGAAATATGGTCTAGTAAAATTATTATAAATTGGGTGAACATGTGGTTGAATAACCACCTTCAAAGAATAGATAGCAATGGTTCATTGTCAAAGTGGCAGGATGGATCAAATGGAGTTCCATAGGAGGCTCTCTTGGGCCTGCAAAGCAATATACAGCATTCCATACTTTCATTAATGGATTAGATAAATGGATAGAGATCACACTTATAAAATGTGTGGACAAGGTGTGGACCTAGCTAGGGCAGAGTTAGAATTCAAGCTCTTCTTGATAAATCAATAAGATGATTCAATAAAACAAATACAACCCTCTGCATGTGGAAGTAAAATAAAAAAATAAAGACATAATAGGGAATAACTGGGTAGGCAGGTGTACTATTGGAAAAGACCTGCAGTTTACAGTGGCTGGCAAATTAAATGTGAAACAACAATGTAATCCTGCAAAAACAGGCAAATGTCATTATGTGGTGTACTAAGAACTGTGTTGCATGTAGTTACTGCACCCTATTTAACTGCAGGACTATGTTCTATTTGCAGAACCATGGTTTAGTATAGGCTCCAGTGGAAGGGAGTAGGGAGGGATAGGAGGTAACTAATCAGTGCAAGATTATGCTAGTGTTTAGGTCCTGTCCTATGGTTTGCTTGTTCTAGCTAAAAACTCTGAAGGAAGAGAGTTCTCAAGTTCCCTCTGTGCCTTTAGAGAAGTCTACAGGAGAACATCCAAGATGATAAGTGTTTACGGAACATCCTGTATGCTGCAGTGAAGAAGAAAATGGAATAATTTATCTTGGAAGAGAGAAGATTGAAGGGGACAAGTTAACAGACTTTCAGTATGTTTAATGATATTATAAAACAGACAGTAATCAAATGTTCTCCATTCCTCTTAAGGTTTAGGCAGAATGTAATTGGAATAATTACACATTAGAAGAAGCTTTTTCATTATGAAGAGTAGAGAAGCACAGGCTGGTTGTAGTATTGCTAGAATTGTAGGTTTTAAAGAACAGGTTATATATCTGTCAGGGCTGATCTATGTATACTTGAACTTGACCCAAAGTAAGGGTATGATCTTTTGAGGTCTTTTTAAGTCATTTGTCATTTCTACATTACACTAGATCCTGAGAATGGGTTGCAGTTGGATACCAACTTGCAAGATGATTAGCAAAAAATGGTAACCATAATGTCCTTTGATATTGTTGGATGCTTCAGATATATACCATTACTAAGGTATCTGCTTTGCAAAAGATGCTAAATAAACTGTGTTAAAGGATGTGGAAATGTAGCTTGGGAAATGCTATCAGGATTACTATAAACTGCTCTAAACATTAACATTTATTCCTGACTAATGCTCAGAGCTGACCAAAATTAGTTTTTAATGCTGTGTACAAATGTTACATTATAAATGCAAGGCAACTTGTGTCAGAAGAATTACCTGTTTCCAATGGATCATATTTTGCACTGACGTTCCAGCTGGGGAGTGTGAAGTATATACATCCACTCGACTCTGAAAAAAAATATTTACATTTCAAATTAAGTAATATATGAGGAAGTGATTCCATCTACTTACTTTATAGACAATTTTATGCAGACAATTTCATAAATATTACATATAATAAGATACTCAGGGATCCTTTGTAGATTTATACTTACCAAATTTAAATTGTCTGGATTAAACCCGCCAGTACAAACATGGCATTGCTGCACAACTTGACAAACCTGGGCTGGCTGCAAAATGCAACAGAAATCACTTGACCAAAAAAAGTGCTCGGTAAGAATTCTTTCTTGCCAAAAAGCTCCTGTACAAGTAAACAAAATAATATCATTAGATATAAAAAATGATTTTTTTCTTTCTATCTACCACTACGAAACTTCTTACTAAAATGTATTTCAATTTTGTGCTGAGTGCATATTTAGATATATTAACTGAAGGGGATTGAACCTCTTGGGAAAAATGTTCTCCATGTTGATGTTCCTAACTATTAAGAACTAAAATTTTCAGTTCATTCTTTCTGCTTTCATCCACTATATAGACTAAATAATTTTTCTTCTTCTTGGCTTCGACACTCTTCAGAAAGGATTGAAAAATTATCCTTTACCTCACCTATCATTTAGCTAAGTTTTAGGAAACTACACATTGACATACCAGATCATACCAGTGGTCTAGCCTGCTTGGTGTCCTGTCTATGTTGTACTATATGCTGCTTAGGTAAGTACAAAATGCTGCTTAGGTAAGTACAAAATGTCCAATAATGGAGAAGTGTGGAATAAAATTCCAATTAGGGTGTGGAATGGAGGTTTGCTTCTAGCCTAGGCACTCAAGGGGTATGTCTGCACATGCACATAATTTGAAATAGGCCTCCTGTGCAATAAAAATACAGTGCACTAACCCTACTGGGAAGCACATCTCTGAGAGTTCTTGGGAGCCCAGACTGGGCTACTCCCACCCTGCTTCACCCATCTGAAGCAGCCAGAGGGAGTTCTAAGCTCCTCCTGGGTGCTAGCCCAAGAGCCAGCAGGGAGCACAGGGCCAGAAGACAGCAGTCTCCTGATCCCATACACATTGGGAGGGGTCCTGATGTGCACAGGGCAGGAGAGCTGCTGCTACAGAGTTCTCCCACCCCATGTACATGGGAACAAGCTCTGTACCTAGTGGAGTTTCCCCTTGACTTGCTGAGACCTGTCCCCATCTCAGGTAGGTCCCAGCCAACTCTGAGCTGCGCCCCTCCTACAGCTATTTCCCAGCCCCCTGCCCCAATAAGATGATTGGGGCAGGGGGCTCAGAAGAGTCCCTCCTCCCACAGCTCTTTCCCAGCCCCTTATCCCAATCACCCAATCAAGTCATGGGGCTGGGAAAGAGCTGAAGGGGAGGGGACTCTTCCCAACTCCCTGTCCCAAGCTGCCAGTGGGACAGCTAGCAGGGATTCCCTGCCAAGCCAGGGAAGCCAGCTGGGGGTTTACTGGTAGCTATTAGGGCTGTGTGAAATTTCACCAGCGGTTTTGTTTTGACACTGTTTTAAGGTCAAAACAGCAAAATTGAAACAAAACACAAGCCCTCAAAATAGCCTTGAAACAAAATGAGGCTGGTTGAAATGTTTTGAAAGTTGAAACATTTCAACCATAGGCTGGGGGTGGGAAGTCAGTCCAGCGGGATGACTTTCCATCCCCAGCTCAATATCTAGTAGGGGGTGACATGGCAACCCGGCCAGGCTGTGTCCCCGACCCCCCGCACTAGATGGCTCAAGACGAGAAATGAAATTCAAGATGAAACACTGTTCCGTCGAACCATCAAAACTCAAGGCAAAACAGAATGGTGCCATTTTGCACAGCCCTATTAGCTTTCCCCACAAATGGGACAGCTCCTGGCTGCCAGGCTTGGCAGAGATTCCCCATCCAGATGGGAGCTTGCTGCTAACTGCACCTCTCTTACTACCCCAGTCCTGCCATTGCTGAGCTCCCTGCTCCAGTGGGGAGCCAGGAGCCCTACAGCAACGGGATGGGGTGGGGGAGGGCAGAGATGGATCCACTCCCCACGCTGATCAGCCCCCTGCTCCAACTGTAGAGCTGGGGCCAAGAGCTGCCTGCTGCCAGGGCAGGGGACATTGTTCTGGCCAGGCATTGCACTCAAAGCCCACCTTGGCAGCAGACAGTTCCTGGGGGCAGGGAGCAGTCTACCAGTCCCCACTCTAATTGTAGAGCCAGGACCACGACCTGCCTGCTGCCAGGGGAGGAAGACATAATCCCAGCCTGGGCTCTGAGCTTGGTGCCCCTCCCCAGCACCAGGCAGCTCCTGGGGGAGGGAATTGTTCTCCCACCCCATGCTGCCTAAGCTGACCACAACCAAGTTTGCTCCCAGTCAGCTGTTTACACATGGGCTATTGCACAGTCATTGCCATAGTCAATGCAGTTGACTAATGGACTGTGCAGTGTCAGCAGATGTAGACAGTAATGATTTACTGTACACTCAGTTAGTCAACTGTACCATAAAGAGTCTTGTGTAGATATGCCCAAAGTTTATTTATGTCCCAAAGTACTAAGGTGCATAGTCTCTCTTTTGTACGCATTCTAGTGTAATGGGATATGTTCTTTATCTGAATCTGAATCTTTGTCTAATTCTTTTTCTGAATCCCACTAAGTTTACCTCATTTTTAGTTCTTTCAGTTTAACTGAATATTCCATTTTTTGTTTTATGAGACAAAATAAACAGAAACCCTTGATTTACTTTTCCTTAAATATTGATTAAGTGATGTACATGTGATGCTTCTTTATGAATATCCTTTCTGAATAGTGCCATAAGATGGAAGTTTGCCCATGCCTCTATAATGTTTGTTTTCCTGTTTTGGCTAAAATATTTTAAAGGGTAAATTGCAGGACATTATGCAAAGGTTAGCAAGTCATCTACTTCCTTTTAACAGTAGTGCAAATAGCACACAAAATCTTCAGGCATTCCAAAAAATAGCTTTGTTACCTAGTTTCAGCAGTTCCAAACTAACTATTTTTAGAGCCTGTATGGTAAGAATTTGTTAGTCACTGCTTAATTCGTCTGAAGGACTGACATACCTTGATAGTTACATCAGGAAGTAATGCAAGCTTTAACAGGGGAGTTTTAATATATTTGGTTCTGGCTACTGGAGCTAAGGCAAAGAACACTTTGATTCTTCTGGCCAGCTGTGGCATAGTTGAAAAGGCTATAAAACCTAGAGAAAGAAGAGACAATTCACTATTTCAAAAATATCAGGCACAACATTTAGATTTTATGAGAACTATTTTTAAAATCTTAAGGGAA